GATTGGTTTTTACATATTCCCTTAATTTTTGTTTATCTAGAAATGTCCTAATTTCACCATCATAATGGAACGAGATTTTTGCAGGATATTTATTCTTGGCTGGCAGTGTTTTTCTTTCAAGGTTTTATGTATGTCATCCCATTGCCTTCTTGCCTGCATGGTTTCTTCCGAATAATCTGAGCTTAGTCTTATTGTTTCTTCTCTGTGACTTTTTGTTTTTCTTGTGCTGCTCTCAGGATTCTTTGTTTGTCTTTGGTTTTGGAGAGTGTGATTATGATATGCCTTGGTGATTTTCTTTTGGGGTCTCTCCTGTATGGGGTTCATTGAGCTTCTTGGATGGCCAGCTTTTCATCTTTCATGATGTTGAGGAAGTTTTCTGTCAGCAGTTCTCCAGTGATCCTCTCTGTGTTTTCTGTTTTCTCCCTGTTTTAGAACTCCGATCACTCACACATTTTTGCTTTTGATTGTATCCCACATAATTCTCAGGGTCTCTTCATTTTTCTTTGTTCTTTTTTCTGATTTTTCCTCAAGAGTTGTATACAAGTGTTTGTCTTCAATTCCACTGATCCTGTCTTCCACCATTTCAAACCTGCTTCTCAGCCCGTCTATGACACTGTCCATTTCCGAAATCTTGTTGTTTATCTTTTGGATTTCTAATTGTTGTTTTTGTATGATTTCTAGTTGTGAATTAATTTTGGCATTTTGTTCCTGCATTATTTTCCTGAATTATTCCATTTTTTGTCTGTATTTTCCATGAATTCGTCTGCCTTTTCCATGAATTTGTTTATTTTTTCTCATTTCTGTCTGGTTTTTTATTCAGGTCTTGGAGAATTCTGAGTATTAGAGATTTGAACTCCCTATCAGGTAGTTCTAGTGCCTTTTCTTCTGCTGGAAAGTCATCTGGTGTTTTATTTTGGACACCTACTGGAACCATCCTGTGCTGTTTTTATAAATGTTTTGATATTGTCTGCTGTCTTCAGGGCCTTCGGTAGTTATATTTCCTCATTTATTGATTGCAGATTTGTTTCATCCTGCTTTTTTTTTTACCATGTCTGACCAGGCAGGCTGTGTGTTCTTTGTTGTTTGCTTGTCTTTGGGCATGATACTTTTCACCTCCTTCTCCAATGGGCAGGGGCATTCCCTCAGATAGGGCACAGCAGGGCTGGTCTAGCTGAAGAGGAGTTGCTGGGATGGGTTTTTTGTGGCACTAACTATGGCCACCAGGGCAGGCCAGTAATCAGTGCAGGGCAGGTTCCGGTAGGCCATGCCTGGGCTGCTTGATGGTATGATGTTCAGCGCACGGTGTGGGTAGGCGGGATGGAGTGTGGAGACTGTGATGTGCGGAGCTAAGATAGGTATGGGAGAGTGGAGAGAGGAATGGGAGCCAAAAACATACAAACAAACAAAAAAGAGTGCTAGGGGAGCTTGCCGTTGGAGTGGAGAGGTGAGAGACTATGAAATGGAGAAAAACAAAAAGGAGAAGAAGAAAAAATGAATAAAGAAAAATTAGAAAGAAAGAAGAAAAGCAAAGCCCCCATGGATCCCTTTGGTGTGGCTGCGAGGTCTGGAGAAGTTGCTTCCAGGCTGTGAAGTACAGCCTGGCTAGAAGGGGTAGAGGTGTCACTCATCGCTAGTTATTCAGGGGACAGGAAGAGAAGGAAAGTATAGAAGACAAGCAACTGAGTAATGAAGAAAGACAAAAAGGGTAAAAGAGGGAAAAGAAAACAAAACAAATAGAAGATTTAAAAATAGAACAAGAAAAACAGAAGAAAAAAGAAATGCCCTTGGGGATCTCTCTGCGCGTTGGTGCAAACTGAGGGGGTAGGTCCCAGGCTGTGCAGTACTGCCCGGCTAGAACGGGCTCCCAGTTAGAGCAAAGAAAAAGAAAACAAACAATTCAAAACAAAACAAAAAAGCCCCGGGATCCTACCAGTGTTGCAGCATAGGCCAGGAAGCAGTTTCACATTCAAGTGGCGTTTCACAGCCTTTCAGGAAGAAGCGAAAATGGCACACGGAGCCAGGTATTTGAGAGAAATGAGGGTGAGGTGGTGAGAGGTAAGGAAGAAATTTAAAGAAGTGCAGAAAAGCAACACCAGCAGCCAATAAATGGCACTTAGGGAGCCGGCCAGTGTGGGCGGGTGGAATCCAAGCGACACCAGAGTGAAGCTGATGCTTCCTGGCCAAGAGACTGTGGCCAAGTGGGGGTGAAGAAGGAGGGGAGGGGGGAAAGCGTATATCGCTGGTTACCGGTTGTTCTGTCTCCTACTGGAAGCTCCATGAGGCTGCTTTCTCGTACCCCCTGTTCACTGATCTCTGATAGGAGTCCAAGATTGCGGATCTTTACAGCTTTAGCTGATAGGGGACATCTGCGATGTATCTCTCCTCGCTCTCTCTTCTCTGTCAGTTTCTTATTCCATTCGGTGCTTGGCTGAGTTCTTTATCTCTTCATTTGATGTTTAGGGATTCAGGATTGCTGTTTTCTCTGTTTGGCTTAGTTTTTCCTATCTTTGCTGTGGAGGGACGGTGTGGTGCTTCTGCCTATAGCGCCATGTTGCCTGGAAGTCTTGAATTTGCATGTCTAACAAGCCCCAGGCGATGTTAATGCTGCTGGCTAGGGACCAGCTCTGAGAACCACTTGTAGAGCACTGGTTCTCAAAATTTATTATACATGAGAATTACCTGAAGATTTTGTTTAAATGTGGATTCTGATTCAATGTATCTGGGGTGGAAAGTCATCACTCTGAGATTGTAAAGGGTTCTGCCCAGCTGTTTTCAGTGAGCCTTCAACCATGTAGGTTATGCTGTCAGGTTTGTCTTAACTCTTTTAAAGTCACATGCAGGAACATTTAACACTACTCTGTTACAGTTGAATGACTTTTGTGGTACTTTATGGATACTGTGTTGCACACCACTTGGCACCAGGAGCACTTACTCTCCTGGCCTTCTTACTCCTTGCTGAAATTGTGTGTATTGTCTTGGTTGCTGCCCTTTAGCATGGCAGTTATCTTTGGAATGGCACGTACATTTCTCTTTGAGAATTGCTAGTGTGTAGAAACGCCAGTCAGGTAGCTGTTTCAGCCTGTGTGTCTGAGGACCAACTTAGGTGTTTTTTGTCCTCCTTCTCATCCCCATGGCTGACTTGTTCTAGCTCCTCCCCCTTTGTAACTGGCTCTTTTCTTTTCTGAAAGAGTGACTTGTATGTGGCCACCTCAACATCTCTACCCACCTTACTGGTGCCCACGCCATACCTAGCTTTTATCAGTTTGGCTCTTTGCATGACTTTACTAGTTCTTTCTCCCCCTTCTCTTTTTTTATCTTGCTCTACTGTTTTTCTCCTAACTCTGTACTCCTTTGCTTGTATAGCTGCTGCCTTTCGTGTCTTTATTCTTGGCTTTTTAAAATGCTCTCTTGCCGCTGGTGTGTTTTTTTAATTTTTATTTTTAGGTGACATCCAATTATAGAATTGTTCTGAAAGCCCAAGAGTTCCAGAAAACCAAATGCCAGACACCTTAGGCTTTACTGTATTACATTATTCACATTTTTTTCTATGTATATGATTGTTTTTGGAATCACAGAGGCTTTTTATAGTAGTAGCCTCTTCAACGAAACATACATGAAAATATTTTGTGAATGTAAGAATTTTGATCATTAATTGCTACTGTTGCCACCACCACTTCTGTCATCTTCATCATCATTACCATCGTCTGACTTTCTAATTTAGTCTCCATTACTGGCATTGTCTCCTGCTTTGGCATTTGCTCATCCCCGTTTCTGGTACTCCCTTCCCCTCTGGTCTTCACCTAGTCAGCTCCTACTTGCCCTTCCTTCATCTGTGTGGACATCACTCACCCCTGGAAAGCCCTCCTTGACTCACCCGTCTTCCAGCAACCTGTGACTACGTTACTTCTAGCACTTAGCACAATGTTCTGTTGTCATCTCCTACCATACTCATTTATAATCCTCCAACACACTGCACTGGCCACTCTGCTGTTCCTGGAAAATTCCAGGCACTTTCCTGCCTGTTTCCTCCATACCCACATGGCAGCTCCCACTCTTCCTTTGTCTCTGCTCACATATAATCTTGTCATTGAGGCCAGTCCAACAATCCTACTTCAGATTGTTCCCTCACCTCCCCCTCCACCTGTGCTTTCTCTTCCCCTTCCTTGCTTTTTTTCCTCCAGAGTGCTTAATCATTGTCTGACATTCTATATACTTGACTTACTGATGGAAATGGATTATCTTGGTCTCCTTATTAAATACAAGTTTTATGAAAGCAAGAATTTTGTCCCCTGACATATCCATAACTGCCTAAAATAAGGCTTGGAGGCATCTAATGGGGGCATATATAAGTACTGAACTAGCAAGTCATCAGTTACTTCTCTCTATCCCAAGTACGGAGAAGCATGTTTGCATTCTAATATTTCTGGCATATAATATGTACTCAGCAAGTGATTGGTAATTTGTCACTTCAGTGATTACATGCCGTTGGATGAAATCTAATACTAAACCTTTCTACATTAGGTATTGGTCTGTGTTTAGAAGGATGTAGTGTTATGGTGAAATTATAGTGTAACAAAAGCAATTAATACCTTTGGGGATTTTATTCTGTTGCAGAAGTGATTGTCAGAAAAAGTACCTTGCATGGGATGTTGATATATTACCCTTCCCCCTACACACACACACACACACACACACACACACACACACACACACACACAGAGAGAGAGAGAGAGATACACGTGCACACAGTCACTATTAAGATATTTTTATTAGTATTTAAAGGATTTATATGTACCAGTAGTCTGGGGCTGATTTAGTTTCAGGCCTAGTCATTGTGATTCTTACTTTACATATTAAAAAGGAAAGAAAAACCTTCATCACATTAGATTCTGCCTCATATCCTCAAAGAGCAAAATTGACTTCCTTGCTATTCTTCCTAGGCACGGTATTTTAAATTGTAAGACTCTTTGCCACTCTAACTGTGGATTTTCCTCTCTTAGGAATCAGAGAAGATCATTGCTGAGTTGAATGAAACCTGGGAAGAGAAGCTGCGTAAAACAGAGGCCATCAGAATGGAGAGGTCAGAAGTTTAAAATCTGGGAATGTTCCTAAGTTTTCTAGGGAATATGTATTATTCTTACACTAAGAAAAGATGCCACAGAAGTTAAAAACAGAACTTCCCCTCCCAAAACAAAACAAAAAATAAATCTGACTGGGAACATACGACCAATAGAAATTACACTTTAAAGTGAAATCCCCAGGTTTAAATGTTCTCTAGGGAGTCAGGTACTTAAACAGTTACTACAGTACATATTGCTAGGGGTTCATGTAAAAATGAAAGAAATTGAAGGATAGAGTTTTCATCTGCAAAAAGTAGCCACTGCCTTTGAATAATGGCCCAAATCCAAAAGACTGTTCTGATTATTGCCTTTCAGAGTTACTTACCTTCTCTAGAACCTCTTTGGTAGGAGGTGTGATAGTTTGGGTTGCAAACCTGTATCAGTTCTCTACTCAGAAGGTGAGCATCACCCAAAATAATACTTTTACTATTGGAATAAATGTACATTAAAAAAACGTCAGTTCCTGCCTTAAAAAACATGAGTTCTTACATATTGATACAGGAAATGTGCCAAAAGAATTTTCTTATTATAGAGATTTTAAGCTAGAATTTTTGAAGCAGAATGCTGGTGGGCATGGGAACATTTGAGAAAATCATATTTGTAGACCACAGTCCATAAACCAAAGTTACTTTCTGATTGCTTTCTTAGATTCTGAAGAAATAGTTCTTTGACTTGAATGTATAGCCTTGAGGAGTCTTCCCTTATGTTAATAGACGTATTATTTATGAATTATTGTCTACCTCCAAAGCCAAATTAGACCAAGTTCTTCTTTGGGTGAATGTAACTTTCCCTAACACGGGAGCATAACCTAATTAATTTTGAACGTGATATTTCTTTAAAAAATAATTTCTCATTAATGGAGTTAGCGGATTATTCTGCATTTGCATTGAGTTTCAGTTGTTTCTCCTTTGCATGCTTTATTTTCAATTCATATTAGACTGACTTAATTGAAATTTTGGTAATGGTGTGCTGATGAAGTCCCTGGGTGGTGCATAAGGTTAAGTGCTGGACTATCTAACCAAAAGGTTGGTGGTTCAAACCCACCCAGAGGTACTTTAGAAGTAAAACCTGGCAATCTGCTTCAAAAAGGTCACAGCCTTGAAAACGCTGTGGAGCGTAGTTTTATTCTCCACACATGGGGTTGCCGTGACTGGAATTGAATCGAAGGCAACTAACAACAACAATGTGCTGGTGTACTTGTCGTTTGTTCTAGAGAGGCGTTGTTGGCTGAGATGGGAGTTGCCATTCGGGAAGACGGAGGAACCCTGGGGGTTTTCTCACCTAAAAAGGTAGGAAACAATGTTGTAAAACTCAACCAAATGCAAGCACTTTTTGTTTATCTTAGTAACTGAGATGCTTTGTGTCTTTCAAGGCTGCCCCCCCCCCTTTTTTTAAATCTTGAGATTTGGCTTAATTTCTGATTTCATCTTATAATATGACTTTACATTACAAGGGCAGCCTATTTTTAAATGTTTGTCATGTTTAGTCTTTATAAAATAAATAAAAACTCAAGGCAGTAAATCTGTTAACTTTGGGCCATGTTAATGTTTAATCATCTTCATTGTTGGTTTGCCTTAAATTCCCAACCTAACCTAGCATACTTTGCTTCAGTTTTGACAACTCTTTCTATGTAGATTTTCCTACAGAGACCATCAACCCAGTTTAATAACTCTTTGGAAGTAATTTCAGCTATTCAGGTTTGTGTAGAAAAATACTACTTTAGTTTGTATTATGGACAACCAGTGTACAGAGTAAAGTAATTCCTTTTCTCATCCTTCTAGCCTCCCTGTTCCTTTCTCAGTTTTATCTTTTAAAGATTCCAGTAGATTACCTTCCTACTTACATAATCTTAGTTGTAAAGTAGTAGCTACCTGTTACCTAATTAGAATAGTATTTTTTACTAAGTTGCTAGTTAATTATTGTTAGATATTAGAAACTACTATCAAATGATTATTTTGTCTGCATATTTACACGACAGTAATAGAATAGATACAACTAATAAATGGTTCTTTAGTTCAAATAATCTCCAGTTGGCCATTGGAGACTTAAACATCTTCATGTACAGGGTCTGGTGATGACCTCTTTAGGTTAGCATAGAAGGGATAGGGGGTTTTGAACTGGTGTTTTTGTTTAATGTGATATAAAATATTCCTGCGGTTTTTGCTAGGATTCTTTCGGTTAGGTTTTTCTATCAAGGTCACATAACTTTTTTTTTTACAAATTCCAATGTGTTATTTTCAACAGAGAAGGTACATTTAAAGACATTTTAGATACATATTGTAAAAATGGAGCGGTAAGTATTTTATGTGTTTATATTGCCAAAGGTCAATGGTTTTCCACAGTTTAATAGTTTTTCTTACCTTAAGACAGATAAATTACCTGTGATTGTAGAGATTTTTAGCAGTTACAGGTTTGGTTTGATAGAATTTATATTGTATCTTTGCATATGTCTAAAAGTATTTTATAACATCTTTGAGTATTAAAAAATGTGGGGAAAATTTTTATAGCAACTTGTGAAAACATTATGACATTTAATGTCTGTCTAAATACTTGAACAAGGAGCCCTGGTTGTTCAGTGGTTAAGTGCTCGGCTGCCAACCAAAAGGTCTGCGATTTGAACCCACCAGTCACTCCGTGGGAGAAAGATGTGGCAGTCTGCTTCCAAAAAGATTACAGCATTGGAAACCCTATGGGGCAGTTCTGCTCTGTCCCATTGGGTTGCTATGAGTCGGAATCGACTTGACAGCAGTGGGTAAACACTTGAACCAAGTGTTTAGATGGTATAAACAGCATAGAATACCAAACTGAGATCTCTGTTTCCTAAGCTTCATCTTACTTTAATTTTACCCATCTGGCCTTAACTTTCTGGACTTCCTCAGGAGAGGAGGGGATATTCCACTGACCATATCCAAACTCAGTTTTAGAACCTATTTTTGGAATTCCTTTCTTTTTTGGCCAGTGTCATAATAGGTTTTAAAGAATGTTGCCCATAGAGTACGATGACTTTCTCAAACCAGAAAAGCTCTGAAACTACACATGTAGACGCTATTTGAGGAGATGTAGAGATTTTTCTAATTTTCTTTTTAATCATCTTTTACAGTCTTTTTTCTTAACCCCCTCATCTGACTCTTCTTTCATTTTCCACATTTGCTGGCATTGTCTTGAGTAGATTTTGACCCCAAGATCATGTGACTTATTTATGGATTCCTATGGGGTATTTTCACCAAAGAAGGTTGGTTTTTTAAAAGACGTTAGAAATATTAGAGTTAGATAAAGAAGGTTTTCAGAAGATGTTTACGTTATTGGATATCAGTAATTTAAATTTCTTTTTAAGGTAAAGACTAGTAAACTAAAAGACAATAACTGGGACCATCAATGTAGAAGATGAAAATTATAGAGGGGGAAATTGGCAGGGTTGGGAGGACACTTCTATAAAGTAAATAAAAAACTAAATATTTCTTGAGATTTTTGCCTGGGCGTTTGCAAAAATTAAGATTAACCCAAAGAGAATCAGTCTGTCCTGATTTTTCTCTTGTACTCTCTATGCTTTGTCCCTGTTGAGAATGGGTCTTGTTCTTTATACCAGGACTCATGTTTTTAAATAGAATTCATTAGTGAATTTGAGAAAAGGAGCATTTTCTCTTTATTATGGGATTGCAAGTAGAAATAATGTGGAAGTCCCTCTTCTAGGGATCACAGAAGCTGTAAGCCTCCTGTATGTCTGTGTTATTATTGTCACATCCCTGTCATGGTGCCTTGCTCCGAATTGATAATCTGTAACCTTTTTCAGACCCCACATCTTGTTAACCTCAATGAAGACCCACTAATGTCCGAATGCCTGCTTTATTACATCAAAGATGGAATTACCAGGTATATTTGTTTCTTGTTTTGGTCTCACAATGTTTTCCTTTCTCTTAGATGATTGAATAACTAAAGGGAAATTATTTGTTGAAAAATTTATTGTAAAATTTACTGTTTTCCCTGTATGAAGTACTTGTAAACTGTCTTCTCCTTCCTTACCAAATTATGTTAAGTGTTTTAGCCAGCCAGACTGATTAACATGTTTCTCCTTGAGATGCTAAAAAATAGTTTTCTTTCTAACATCTTACATGAATTCTTTAGGGGCTTCGTGTCTTTTTGTAATGCTGTGTGAGTTAAATTGGTGTATCGTTGCTCCTTTGTTTCTTATTCTGATGTAGGGAGGTTGGTTGTATATAAAAATAGAATTTGCAGCTGAAAGCTTCTGATACAAAAAGGCAATACCTTTTTTGTACCTGCTAAAGAATATTCTTTGGAAGAAAGAGGTTCATTGTTCATAATGCTTTTTGTGTCTCAACATCCCTGGGAAACTTTCTCTTGTGTTCAGGGTTGGCCAAGCAGATGCTGAGCGGCGCCAGGACATAGTGCTGAGTGGGGCCCACATTAAAGAAGAGCATTGTATCTTCCGAAGTGAGAGAAACAATAGCGGTGAAGGTGAGAGTTCCTGGCTTAAGCTTCTCTGGCAACTTTTTCATTCTATCTTATGAGAAATCCCCAAGGCTTGGTATTCCCTGTGTCCTTCAGTGGAACTTTCTTATAGTTCTAATATTGAAATTGCAGAAACCTGGGCTGGTTATAAATCCAAAGACATACACAGCTACTTTACATGAAAAAGGCCTCTACAAAAGGAACCTTTTTGTTACTGCCAAGAACCCAGCAGGACATAGGCAATTAGGCTTTGTCTTGAATGTTAATTACTTAATAGAAAAGAAAGAAAGGAACAAATATCCTGGGCAATAGGGGATTTGCAAGACCTCTGTTCTTAACCCAGTAGAATTTATTTTTATGTCATCTGAAAGGGAAGAAAAAGTCTATCTTGAATTTTTCCCCAGGTTATTAACAAAAGAACAATCCAGTGATATTTTTGTGCTATATAATTCACTCCCTCCTAATCAAAATACTAGTTTTTAATCATAAGTTTTTGGTTATATTAGCTGCATCTCATACTTAGGCTTTGTTATGGTTTTAAATTTTATCAACTGCACTATCTTCAGATATCACCAAAACTAATATTTTCAGTCCTATTATGAGGTTCATCAGGATCCTTAATGCTAACTCAGATAAATGATCCTATGTTAGCCACAGCCCCAAATAGCCTCTTATATTGGACTGAACTTTTGGTACCCTAAAATGAACTGATATGTAGATGCTTCAACCACTTGGTTGGTTGAAGGAGTCTGTTTTAGTTACCATGAATCCTGATAGTCACTGTTTTCCATTATTTGCTTCCAGTGGTTTGTGATCCTAACATTAGTTTGTCTTCTTGTTAGTTATCGTGACCCTAGAGCCCTGTGAACGCTCAGAAACCTACGTAAATGGCAAGAGGGTGGCTCAGCCTGTCCAGCTGCGCTCAGGTGAGACTGGGAGAGTTTGAGGTCTTCAGCAGTGCATACATGACTAGTGTGAGCAACTCTTTAATTTTTGACTTTTTGCTTAAAGGCTGAAGTGATACTTTTAGGATGTCTGTTTCTATAGAACACCAAAAGTCTGCCTTTTTGCATTAGGGAGAGTGAGGTTATGCTATACTTTTTTGTTGTTGTTTTGCTTTAAGTTAAAGTTTACAATTCAAGTTAGTCTGTCATACAAAAATTTATACATACATTGTTATATAAACCTGATTGTTCTCCCTATACTGTGACAGCACACTCCTCTTTTCCACCCGATTTCCCGTGTCCATTGTACCAGCTCCTAACCCTCTCTGCATTCTCATCTCGCCTCTGGAGAGGAGCTGCTCATTTAGTCTCATGTATCTACTTGAGCTAAGAAGCACAGTCTTCACAAGGATCATTTTATGTCCCATAGTCCAGTCTAATCTTTGTCTGAAGAGTTGGCCTCAGGAATGGTTTTAGTTTTGGGCTAAAAGAGAGTCTGGGGGCCATGTCTTCCGGGGTCCCTCCAGTCTCAATCAAACCATTAAATCTGGTCTTTTTACTGGAATTTGAGTTCTGCACCCCACTTTTCTCCTGCTCCGTTAGGGACTCTCTGTTGTGTTCCCTATCAGGGCAGTCATTGGTGGTAGCCGGGCACCATCTTGTTCTTCTGGTCTCAGGCTGATGAAGTCTCTGGTTTACGTGGCCCTGTCTGTGTCTTGGGCTAATACTTTCATCGCATCTTTGGTGTTATTCATTTTCCTTTGCTCCAGGTGGGTTGGGACTAATTGATGCATCTTAGGTGGCCGCTCACTAGCTTTTAAGACCACAGACGCCACTCACCAAAGGGGGATGTAGAACATTTTCTTAATAAACTTTGTTAGGCCGATTGACCTAGATGTCCCCTGAAACCATGGTCCCCAGACCCCCGCTCTTGCTTCTCTGTCACTTGAAGTGTTTGGTCGTATGCAGGAAACTTCTTAGCTTTGGTTTAGTCCAGTCGTGCTGACTTCCCCTATAGTATGTGTTGTCCTTCCCTTCACCTAAGATAATTCTTGTCTACTATCTAGCTAGTAAATCCCCCTCTCCCCCCTCCCCACCCTCGTAACCATCAAATAATGTTTTCTTCTATGTTTAAACCTTTTCTTGAGTTCTTATTATAGTGGTCTTATACAATATTTGTCCTTCTGTGACTGACTAAATTCACTCAGCATAATGCCTTCCAGATCCCTCCATGTTATGTTTCACAGATTCATCGTTGTTCTTTGTCATTGCATAGTGTTCCATTGTGTGAATATACCATAATCTGTTTATCCATTACTCCTTTGATGAGCACCTAGGTTGTTTCCATCTTTTTGCTATCATGAGCAGTGCTGCAGTGAACATGGGTGTGCGTGTATCCTTTCCTGTGACGGCTCTTATTTCTCTAGGATGTATTCCAAGGAGCAGGATTGCTGGATCATATGGTACTTCTATTTCTAGCTTTTTAAGGCAGCGCCAAATCAATTTTCTAAGTGGTTGTACCGTTTTACATTCCCACCAACAGTGTGTAAGTGTTCCAGTCTCTCCACAACCTCTCCAACATTTATTATTTTGTGTTTTTTGGATTAACGCTAGCCTTGTTGGGGTGAGATGGTATCTCATTGTAGTTTTGATTTGTATTGCTCTAATGCCTAATGATCGTGAGCATTTCCTCATGTGTCTGTTAGCCACTGGAATGTCTTCTTTGGCAAAGTGTCTGTTCATATCCTTTGCTCATTTTTTAATTGGGTTATTTGTCTTTTTGTTGTTGAGGGGTTACAGTATCTTATAGATTTTAGAGATTAGATGTCGTTTGGATTTGTCATAGCCAAAAATGTTTTCCCAGTCTCTAGGTTGTCTTTTTACTCTTTTGGTGAAGTCTTTTGATGAGCATAAGTGTTTGATTTTTAGGAGCCCCCAGTTATCTAGTTTCTCTTCTGGTGTTTTTGCATTGTTACTTACGGTTTGTTAGATGCTATACATTTAAAAATGATTTCTTAACCCTGTTTTTGCTTTGTACTAGGAAACCGTATCATCATGGGTAAAAACCATGTTTTCCGCTTTAACCACCCGGAACAAGCACGGGCTGAGCGGGAGAAGACTCCTTCTGCTGAGACCCCCTCTGAGCCTGTGGACTGGACGTTTGCCCAGAGAGAGCTTCTGGAAAAACAAGGAATTGATATGAAACAGGAGATGGAGAAAAGGTAATGCACAGATATTAAGCGGCCACATGACTATCACTTTTTAAAAACATATAATAGCATTTGTTAAACAGCTCAGTGATTTCAGAATTTATTCTTTCCTGTCTTTTTTTTTTTCCTTTCTTCTTCTAGACTACAGGAAATGGAGATCCTATACAAAAAGGAGAAGGAAGAAGCGGATCTTCTCTTGGAGCAGCAGAGACTGGTAGGAGTCCATCCTAAATCTGCTAACTATTAGGAAAAGGGCAACTTGCTCTCACACCTTCCCTATTCCACAGATGAGCACTTTCCTCATGCTTATCTGGGCTCTTATTGATCCCATACACTATTCTTTCATTTCCTTAATGGAGGATGAACTCACATCTTCTGGTACCCTTAACCTGAAAAACTGCCCATAAAGGTACTGTTTTGTGCCTTTTATGTCTTAAAGTAAAATCTTTACTTCTGTCAAAACTAAGTGCTTTTTGAGGAAATAGTGGGAGCTTCTCTGATAACCTTTGCCTCCTGATAGTCGTTTTTGAATTTGCATCAATGATGGTTCTTTTAATGATAAAACCCCTTTGCCTTCGGGTGGATTCTGACTCACTGTGACCCTATAGGACAGAGTAGAGCTGCCCCATAGGGTTTCCAAGGCTGTAAGCTTTGTGGAAGCAGACTGCCACATCTTTCTCCCACAGAGCAGCTGGTGGGTTCAAACCTACAACCTTTCGGTTACCAGCCAAGCGCTTAACCACTGTGCCACCAGGGCTACTTCTTTTAATGATAATTGCTCTGAATATTGAATTTGGTGGGTGTTTGCCTTGGTTTTGTTTCTGATCACCTGATAGTACTAATTCTCTGCTCTTGGGCTGACTTGGGGATTGTTCTTGTGCTAGGTGGTTTTTTTTTTTGTTTTTTTTTTCTTTTAAGTTAAACTGTGTCTGAAAGTGTTGCTGCACAGTTGCATGTGTTAACCCTTTTCTGTTCCCCTGCATGGAGTCTGAATTCTCAAGAAGGTTCTCAGTGGCATGTATGGTGACAGGGGTCGGGGAGCTTGGGCTACATAACCAACTCAGATAGGAGAGGGAGTTCTGGTTTCTGTGGGTTAAGAAAAGATTGGATGAGCAGTTGAAAAGTCATTTTAAGGTCACAGCTATAATACCAATGTGGCTTTAGCATTTTATGATGTTAATTGATTTTCCAGGTTTTATAGAAACTAAATCTCATGAATAAATAAGTTGATTCATTAGTTAGATTTTTAAAACAAACCATTTTGGTTAACTAAGTCCTGCTTATAAGAAGCTTCTCAGTGTTCATTTGATATGTAAGAAACGTGTAACTAACCTTTGGATAGAGTGGGTACAGTTTAGGAATTTCTCCTTTTTTTAAGATTCATGGTCTTCTTCTTAGATAGGGGGTATTAAGGAGGAAGCTGGGGCACTGTCTTCTGCCCTTAAACATAAAATACAGCATGTGAACTACAGCCTTACAGCCATACTCTGTGATTTGGAGAAGAGGGGCTATTGCTAAATGGGCCAGAAAAGCCAAAGACTGAGAAAAGCAGCCTTTTTCAGGGCAACTTGATTCTCAGACTTGACAGTTAAACCAGTAGTTTGTTATCTTGGAAATTATAGTAAAGCCAAAAAAGGAATGAACTGTAAGAATAAATCAAGTATTTGGGGCAAGATAATGGCTGTGTTGTAGATAGAGTCTCCTTAGGAGGCCCACTTTGCATTTAGTTTGTAATGAAAACAGAAAGATGATTGAGCTACAGCGTGATTAGGGGCTTGAAAGCTTTGTGAGCCATGAAGGAGCCTTTTATCCTAATAATATAGTATAATAGCATGCCTCTGACGGTCTGTGAGAGCTCAAACAGGTATAATGAAGCTGTATTTATTATTAACAGTAGTGCCTTGTATTTGTATAGTGCTTTATGAGTTACAAAGAGTTTTAACATCCATCACTGTTTTTGATCCCTGAAGTAACTCTTTTGTAGGTAGGTATATAAGTAAAATGAGTAATATTACCTCCAGTTTTTAGTTGACAAAACCAAAGCTAAAAAATATTGTCTTACCTACCCTTAAACACCTGAAGTGTAAACTTGGGTCTTCTGACTTGCTTTGGTGTTCTGTCTCAGAGAGCAGTGCTTTTTCAATCACCTGGGAGTCTTTTTAAAATGGAGGTTTAGATTCAGCAGGTCTTGGGTGGGGCCTGAGCTTCTGCATTTCTAACAAGCTCCCAGGTGATGCCGATGCTGCTGGTCCTGGACCACACTTTGGGTAACTAAATGTGAAAAAAGAATGATGACTAGTGCTCTCCATAACCAAGAGCTGGTAGTCATTCTGTGCCCTAAAATAAAGACATTGACCATTAAATAAAGAGACAGTAAAGTCTCTAAGACATACTTAAGTTTTCAGGGAACATACTTAGTCTGCAAATAATCAGGTTCTGGTTTTCATTTGTTCTGTGTATCTTAAAGCAAGCTAGGATTTCAAGAGCCACTCCTTAAAGAAGTTACTTTCCTCCCATAAGTTCAGCTGTCTATCCCACTTAAATTCCTTCTCCTCCAGAGGAACTGATAGTTCTGATGTTGTAGCCTGAATGGAAAATGTATTGTATGACCTTATAATGGTCAACCAACAAATATGCTTCAACATATACCCCATGAGTAAGCATTAAAAGGATACGAAGAAATTAGTATTCAGTAAATGTATAATATATTTATTATATGTAATCATTTTTAGCTAATGAGCACCATTAAAAAATGGAATTCAGGCCCATAAATTTTGTATTATGATAGTTCCCCAAATGTGTCACATTGTGAGGTTGCTGAATATTCCCCTGTACTTAATACTCTATTATACACCTGATCCTTCCTGGGCTTGCTTTTTTCACACATATGTTTTGGGTATCTTCTCTCTTATTTGCATAAGCTAATTGTAGAGTCTCTTCAGGAGGCCCACTTTGCCTTTGGTATTTAATGAAAACAGAAGGATCATTTAGTGATATGTGAATTGGCCAGACCTGTGATAAATAAACATCTTAAAATCTCTCTTTTTTTTTAAACATAAGATTTGCATCTTGGCATGTAAAATTTGCATACAGAATTTTTAGTATCATGGTCAGTATGAATAGGGTGATATGCTTGACTTGTAAGAACACAGTCAATATAGGCAGTATTTTTTAAAAAGAAAGAAAAGTAGTCACTTGATTTATTTTGGATTTATATAGACTCTCTCATTTATATATGTTTTATTTTAGAGTTTAAGTGTATAACTTGTGTCACTCAAGCATGATATTAAAGCAATAATTAGAATATTTTTCATTTCTTAAATTAAGTAACATTCATTTCATCCTTAAGCAATTTCAAGAACAAAAGAAAAGAAGCTAGAAAAAGGAAGTCATAGCTGTCCATTGTGTGGGACAAACCAGAGAGTTTGTGTTCTATAAAACTCAGTTTATAAGTATTTGCAAGAAAACCTTTTCAGGAGCTATGCATGCTTTTTTCTCTAATGTTTATTAATGTAATTTTTTTTATCACTTAAGATTAAATGTTCTGATATTTTTAACTAAAAAGGAAAAGAAAAAAAATAGTGTAGAGTTTGTAAGTTTAGCTTTATCTGCTTTTTATTGTTAAATTTTCAAATAGATTGGTTATGGGATTAGTACCCATTTACAGGCCAATATAAATAATACACATTTTTCTGTTATGAGAGAGAAATCTGTCGCCCCGGCAGAAAAACTGATCAGTAGCAACATCGTCAAATTCAGAGGCCAAATCATCATCATTATTGTTTAAGGTTATTTTTTTATTCGCTAGAAAGTAACTGTACATATACATCTTTGGTCTAGAAAGCAAGATACGATTTACCGGTTTCAGTTCCTTTTTATTTTATTTTTTAAACTGTAGAGATACTAGAAATACTTTTGGTAATGACAACCAAGTAAGAGAGACTAGTAAGTAACAATATCTTCACTTACTAGACTATCTTGAACTACTCATCTAGTGAGTAGTTTCTTTTCCCAGGAGCTTTTATTTCCTGAATATAAATTATTCCATAATCTCAAGCATTATATGGAATTCTAAATCAAACATTGCTTTCAGTTAGATCCATGTTATCAAGATTTGCTTGTGTTAGTTAAGAACAATTGGTTATTATCAATAACCCTTAAAACAACTTGTTTTGAAGTCAGGCTACTGTTTTAGGCCTAAGTAAAGTTATTTGAAAAGAGGGTAGTGGTGCAGATAGGCAGCTGGTAAGACAGAGTTAAAGGTGCATTTTAAGATGGATCCGTTTTACATAAGCAGAATATAATATCATCTTTGTGTTTTATATGTTTATTGGAAAGTTGTTGCTTCAAGTGATTTCCTCAAAAAGCTAGAAATGCCATGAATTTTCACAGAAAGCATCTCTAAGTTGTATTTAGTAAAATATTACTTGGGGAATTTTAAACGATCTTGTATGAAAGTATATTTGCCTAGTTTAAATTTTGTTCTGGTAATTTACTTCATAAAACTTTGTGGATGAGGTATTTATTGGTTTAAGTGTATGAAAAACAAAAACCAGATCTACTATAAAGATCCTTTTTTATGCTTCCTTGTTCTCTGGACAACAAACTTTAATTGTACAAATAAAAAGGATCAGTTTGACATGACACAAGAAGATAGAGAATCCAGTATATGTTCTGGAAAGACTAGTTTCACACCCCTCTTGTCTTATAGAAAAAAATATTTTGGTTGATAAGAGCCTCACATGGTCTGCCAATAGGGATTCTTAGCACTTTTAACATCATACTTGTTGACTGCTTCTTTTTCTATTTTCTCATCTTTTAACTTTTTTCTAGGGCTGCTCTTTTTTAGTAAAGCTAAACAAAACCTTGGCGTCCTACAGCCTTACTAACCTTTGTTAATCTGCCTGCTCGTCACATTTTTGTATGGCATCTGTGCTCACTCATGGGGGAAAGAGTGTCTGGAAGAAGCAACAGCAATAACCAAGGCAAATGTGGGGAAGTGGTTGCATGGGTTTTTAGCATGTCTGGATCATAGGTTTTATTTCATTTTCTTGACATAGTGGAGACATTGTTTCACACCATTTTGTTAATTTCATATGACCTTACTGTCAAATCTCCTAAAATATTTGATTGGAAATTTTATCACATCAATCATAAAGTGGAAATTTGGATTAGGGATACTAAACAAATAACCAAACAAGTCTATATATAAAT